TGAAAAATACAACCCCTGGGGTACAAAATGACCCCAGGCGTACAGATAGGGATAAACAGTTAACACCTAGTGTACGATATGCCAGTTTAGCATGCACACAGCATAGCTCAATTGATTACTGTCATAACAAAGAGCAAAGAAACCAACACATCTCCATCTTATTTGTAATCAAACTGTAAGCTTAGTGCATCCAGTGTCCACCTACTTGGTTAGTTTTTGTTTTTTTTTAATTTGTTCCGCAAAAGCAACTGAATAGTAGTGGAGATATGGGGGAACTTTGAGATGCTGAAAATTAGATGACACAGTTGGCTGCGTAAAAGGTAGATAGCCTTCTGTAAATTAAGAGTGTAACTCTCTTTGCATATGTGTGTGTGTGTGTGTGAGTGTGCGTATGTGCGTACGTGCGTGCGTGTTTGTGAGAGAGAGAGAGAGAGAGAGAGAGAGAGAGAGAGAGAGAGAGAGAGAGAGAAAACTGATACAATCCAGCTACGAAAAACAGCCAATGGAACAGAGCGAAGGTCTTGTTGAAAGACCACATTATCCATAGATGAACAATGACTAGACGCGAAGAAGAAAGAACGTATGATTGCTCAGGTCTGATGTTTTCAATGTCGTAAGATTATTTAATTAAGAGACGTAGAAACTCTGAATCTAATGTCCATTCTCGATTGGCCTGATCGGGCTATAACAGGCGGGGAAGCTTGAAAAACTCGCCAAACAAGACTGAAATTAAGATCGCCCCATTCAAGATTCAAACCCAGGGCCATCCACCCTATAGCCAAGCATGATACCAACTGATGAGAAACTTGCATCAATATGCTGTAATTACTATTATAATTTGTAATTGTTACGTGCTATCAACGCAAATGTCATTACGAGACAGCTACGCCAAGCTTGACTGCCACTGCGTTGGTGGCCTAGTGATTAGTAGTGCTGGGCGGCTAGGTTCCCGATTATTGAAAGCTAGGAATCGTAGTAATGGAGTCTGAACCCAATTGCTTACTTTCTAATGATGTGATTTTTTCCGGTGGTTACCTGGTTAGCTCCGAACATCTTCAGGATTTAATATAACCTTGATTTCGGAACTTTACGAAGCATCAACTTTTATTTTTCAAAAACAAATCCTTCAACAACAAAAAAGAAGAAAAATTTAATGAATAAAGTAACTGGTAACCGATGGTTTACAAAAAAAAAGGAATCAGAACTTTTCTTCCGTAGCATTAATCGTGGGAATCGTTTCCGGACTCGATTCCGCGCCCAGCTCTAGTGATTAGGCTACCGGACTCGTAATCTTGAGGTTGTGGGTGTGGAGGTTCCAGCCAGACGGACGCAAATCCTCCGCGTCATTTGAAGTCATTTCACTACTTTAGAATTACAAAGTTGTATCTGCCGTTCTTGGCAATTTTGAGTTACTAAAACTGTGAGGTGAGAAGCAAAATGTTATAGTATCTGCTCTATCAAAACCGTTAGATTATTCAAAAGTCGTTATCAAGATATTTAAAGAACTGCATTCGAACAAGCTTCACATGTTGTGAAACTCAACATTCTTTTACGTAAGATTTCTCAAGAGTAGGTAATAAGCAGATAGAACGTTGTATATTATGTAATTCTAGAATAACGTTTCACAATCGCTCAAATCAATTTCTTGAGGTTTCTAGATAAAAGCTGTAACTTGAATAATAAAGAAACCAAAGAGCATCTTACAAAATTTATTTATTTTCGTTTTGTTTCGCCCTTTCTTTCCCAGTTTTTGACTCCTACATAACGAGTATCAGAGTCTGGGTTATCACTTTGGAGTTCGTACATGTATTTATTCTTTAGTTTATCACAAAATTTCAGACCGAAGGGATAGAACCCAAATGGCCGCTGGATCGGAAAAGTAAAGTAAAGTAAAGTAAGTCACAAAATTTACAAACAAACC